CAATGACATGCCATGAGGTGTAGTGAATTTGAATATGTTTTTGATATGGCATCAGTTTGAATCACTTGTGGTCTAACTCGACGTACCTTAGTGGTGTACGAGATGGAGTGATTTAATGCATCTTATTATCTTTATATGTGCCTTATATGACATCAAGATAGGTCATTTGTGGTCTGACTCGGCATACTTTAGTGGTGCACGAGGTGGAGTGACTCGGTGTAATCTGTTCTAACAGTAAATTTGTATATAGCGCACTCACTTATTATTTGACTCACGTACCACGTATTATCATGATAATACAATTGGCAAATGTCTGATATGAATAAGAAATTATGGATTTGAAATGATCGGATTTCAAAAAGAAAAGTATAATTTTGCAATGATATGAGCTGAAATAAAAAAGTACAAATCTAAAATGACACAATACAATATGAATTACAATTTTTTTATAATAAATTATTAATACGAGTTGACAATTGATTTTATATATATTTTATTTTGTTAATGTTTTAATATAATATTATTGGTTTTATATGTTAAATATTTTATTTATTTTACTTTACTTGGTCGCCTCACTAAGTGAAAACTTAGTGTGCGAGTGTTTCACACGTATGTGCAAGTTAGAAGGAAAAATAGAGAGTGCATCAACAACATTTCTGAGGAATCAATTATGTCACCATAATCAGTAAGTAAGGACATCTTGTCTGTTAATTTATTTGGTAGTGACATATATATTAAAGAATTTTCTAGCTGCTATGATTCGAGTCTGTTTAAGATAATTTTGTTTAAATTACGAAGGTTTAGTTTTACAAAAGACATTATTAATTATGAATATTAGTTATTAAATTGTAATTATTTATGATAGAAATGATTTTCAAATCAGGTAGTTTTCTGACAGTTTTATTTTAAGATATGTTACAGTACAGAATTACCTAAAATACTATATGAATTGAATTTAAATTTTGACACTTAAATATTAAATTAAGATTTTGTATAATTATTAGTTTTAAAATAAAGAAATACATTTTGAGATTTAAAATAAAATAAAATTTTACTGGTTTGCAAATATTAAATGTTTCGTATGACTGATGTGACATCTTTAACTCGTATATAGTACATATATGAGTTAAGGGTGTTACAGGGAAACCGAAGTCAACAGAGTAGGGAGCCATGCATGATATCCTACATTTTGGCAGATCAGTTCAGACATCTAAAATCAGTATGACATTTTTCTGATGTTTTTGATATTCATAGTTGTCATGTATATATTTTTACTTTGATGCTCTGATTCGAATATATATGATCTCTTTTGATTATATGGTGAATGAATAATATTTTAAATATTTTATATTATAGTTTTTAAATGTAATTATTTATTTTAAATGTCTATTTTAAATGAAACAAAATTTTACCGACTTTTAAACAATATATGTTTTATAAGTTTGATGTGGCACTTCTACCTCGTATATGGGACTGTATACAAGATATGGGTGTTACACAAAATCTATGTCATGTTCTTAGTTTGAATACATTTAATCTCACTATTGATTGTTAAGATCTGTCCTAATTCGTGTAGGGAGTAAGGATGGCAAATTAGTATAATTTCATGGATTTTGCAATGTACCTGTTTCAATTGGGACGAGGATGCGTATAAATTTAGTGGGTAGTGGACGGTGTGGATGTAAAAAGTCATACCTGTTGTGAATAGTGGGTAAGTGATGGGTTTGAGACCTTACCCGTGCCGCATCCACCTATCCACTAACTACCCAACATTTAAATTTTGAATCATTATGAATTTAGGTATAGTTTCAGAGATTATTATTAAGATTTTTAGGACTTGTAATTTAACCAAATATTAAGTATAAACATTTTTATAATTGAAGACCATCGTTTTTCTATCTCAAATTGGTTGGTATGAGCGGTTATAGACGGGTATGAGATTGGTGGTGATATCTAGGTGAATAGTGAGTGTGGAGATGTATTTGAGAATCCGCACGGCATGTATGAATTTAAAAAATTTACCTGTGAATAGTGGATAGCTGGTGAATACAAAATATTAGATGAATATGTGATAGGAGAAGGGATATCCGTATCCACCTCTTCCATTTATCATCTCTAAACTCGTGTGATCCTTATTCCTTATCACAATTTGTTGAATTCATTTTTATTATTAAGTAGAGTTAAATAAGGTTATTAATAAAATTTAAAATCTATTTTTATTAAAATATTAATGAATAATTCAATAATTGAACCCACAGCACTGGATCAGTTGGTTTCATCAATTTCCCTAAACTTTCTAATGCATCTCGTGAAAGAGGAAAGGAAAGGGTGTTATCAAAGGCTGTCTACATCTGAATTTCTGTACGTTTATATGGAAATTTGATTCTCAATGTCTACGTGGCACTTTCAACGCCACGTGTCAGCATTGGATACTTTTAGGTGGAACTGAACGTATAAAAAAATCCCCATCAATTTTAAGTGGTGTTTGTTGAACCAATGAGGTTTTGCCACTTGTGATCTATCGGATAACACCACCATATCTGTTGATGAGAGTTTTTAATCTTGCAGCAAATTGCAAAATATATCTTGTCAGTTATTCAAACATTTTAATTTATATTTTATTAAAGTTTTCAAGGTTTAAAATTTATTTTATTTTAAAATTTAATAATGTAATTTAATTAGTGAAAAATTATATTTTTTAAAATTTGTTTTCTATTATAATAGAATTGTTTTTATCAATTTTTGTATAACCACATATATTCAATCTATTAATCAATTAATCTAGATCAAATACTGCAGAGACAAGAGCGATCATTCAACCAGTTTATTCTAATGAATTGCTTTTATTTGATAATGATTTTTTACAATAAGAATTTTCATCAAAATTTAAATATTTTTATCTTTATTTTATGACTGTTTAGTTGTTTTTATCCGTAAATTATTTATAGATTGTCATCATTTCAGCATCAATGAACATCACTCTGAAAATTCCATATAAATGGAATAAGGGAGAAGCTTAACATCAATGGAGGAGAAGGTGTAGAATTTATCAATACTAATAAAAGTGCAAAAAACTTGTCAAATAAATAAACAAAAAGGATTCGAAATTTTTTGCAACAGTCGAATTTCCCTCTCAACCCAGTGATTCTTAAAAAAAATCTAAGATGTGTAACAATGGCAGCCAGGTAAGTGAAATCTGTGGATGGAAGAGGGCCAAGTGGACATGCAAGAACGTCACCAGAATCTCCAACCTCCAATGAAATGAAAGATAAAGATCACAACGAAGATAAGGAACCTTACTCGGAGCTCCCTATATAAACCCCGCTCGATTTCCCGTTTAAATCATTCTCCGAAAGAAACAACATCCACCCTTCACAGGAAAATCTATAACCTAAACAATGTCCGTCTCCACCATGGCTCTCTCTTCCCCTTCATTCGCCGGTAAGGCGGTGAAGTTCTCCCCATCCACCCCCGACATCCAAGGCGGCGGCCGTTTATCCATGAGGAAAACCACCAAGCCCGTCCCCTCCGGCAGCCCATGGTACGGTCCGGACAGAGTCTTGTACTTGGGTCCACTCTCCGGTGATCCACCATCTTACTTGACCGGAGAATTCCCCGGCGACTACGGTTGGGACACCGCCGGACTCTCAGCCGACCCGGAAACCTTCGCCAAGAACCGTGAACTCGAAGTCATCCACTGCCGATGGGCCATGTTGGGTGCTCTCGGGTGCGTTTTCCCCGAGCTCTTGGCACGTAATGGAGTCAAGTTCGGCGAAGCGGTCTGGTTCAAGGCCGGTTCGCAGATCTTCAGCGAGGGTGGACTCGATTACTTGGGTAACCCGAGCTTGATCCACGCTCAAAGCATTTTGGCCATCTGGGCTTGCCAAGTTATTTTGATGGGTGCCGTCGAGGGTTACCGTATTGCCGGTGGACCGCTCGGTGAGGTGACCGACCCGTTGTACCCGGGTGGTAGCTTTGACCCGTTGGGTCTTGCTGATGACCCGGAAGCATTCGCTGAGCTCAAGGTAAAAGAGATTAAGAACGGCCGGTTGGCTATGTTCTCTATGTTCGGGTTCTTCGTACAGGCCATCGTGACCGGCAAGGGTCCGTTGGAGAACTTGGCCGACCACCTTGCGACCCGGTTAACAACAATGCTTGGGCCTATGCCACCAACTTTGTCCCCGGAAAGTGAGCAAAGAGTGTGAAATGGATTTGTATTTTTATGTTTTTTCTTTGTTTGTGTGATGTAAATTTGTTGCAAATCAATCAGAGCATCATGTGAATTTTGTCTACTCATATTATTATTCCCCCTACCTTCTGAGCTTTTACTTGTTTCCTCCATATCATCTTCGTCAACCACATTAACGGTCTAGCTAGTAATAACACCATTAACATATATCATTTATGATAACATTATTGAATAAAACAAATAATTCACACCTTTCAGAATCGACCTAGTTTGTGTTTCCGAACATCCTATTATTATATGCCCCCCGTCAAAACTCTCTATAAAGTTCAAGCCATTAATTTTATGATTCAGAACAGAATCTGATTCTCTTCTTTGCTCGATTAATTCCCTAATTTTTCAGTTACCTTTATTTCTTTAACGAGAAGAAGGCTAATAATAGCAATCGGGTTCTACTTTTCTCATTTACGTATACAAATACCAGAGTGCAGTCATTATAAAGAAGACTACAATCATTTTCCTATTACTTTTCTTATTTGGGTATACGAGAGCACTGTGTTGTTATAAAGAAGACTATTCACTATTACATCGATAAGGACGAAATCGTTTCCAAACAATGAGAGACTACTATTACATCAGTGAGGCGAAGGAATAAAACTGCAAAATGTTCCAAAGTATTCTTCTCACTTCCCAGCCATCTATAATAGAGTAAGTGTTTTGAGAACTAGAATATGTTACATGCAACCATGTAAGATATAAAAATTACTGAGAGTGGACACAAAAAAGAAAACCTTTATCATAAATATGAACAGTGTGATTAAAATGTAACTATCAACAATCGGAGCTGAAAGGTGCAAAGAGTACCACTGATTTCGATGCAGCTTTAACGTTACTGATCTTCACTTATAAGCTTGTGAATCTTCAACTGTTGGGCTGTAGAATGGACAAATCGGACTTGCTTCATTGAATCATTCCCTTTCACTTTTCCGCTCACCCAAGCAATGCTCTTAAGCGCTGCTCGCTGCTGCTTTGGCTCGGGAAAGGGACTTGGTGTAAAGTTCCTCGTACTGTGATGCCGAAGAATCCCAGCTGAAATCCATTTTCATGTCCTTCTGAACGAGTTGTTTCCAGTTCTCTTTGTTGTTCTTGTAGAGATCAAATGCACGTTCCAGTGCACTGTTTATTCCCTGTCAGTTTTTCACATCATCCAAGATTCAAGTATGGTTGAGAGCAAAACCAATGGTATCGGAAAGTGAATCGGTGATTGGGATAGGGTGATAGAATAAAAATTAACTGAAATGAAGTTTAAATGCTGGTTATTTATATTCAAAGAATCCCAGGGTTACCTGTTCATCAGGAGTTATGAACGTAAATCCATTTCGAATTTTGCGAGGGATAGTCTCGTCGTCGACATCAAAAACGCTACGGAAGAAAATTACAAAAGAACAAGCTCATAATTTTTCAGTCAATTAACTTCATATTAGTGGATTGACATGCATAAATCAGATAAAGTTGTTCACCTGTCATTTAGGCCGCCGGTTTTTCTTGCAATGGGTACCGAACCATATCTCATTGCTATCATCTGGATGAACATGTCAATCATAAATTAGAAAAAGAGAAACTTAAACAGATCAGATATTCAAATGGTTGACCCTTTAAGGGTAACACATGTTTCGGTCTAGTTGTTCTTTGTTCAACAAGATTGTTAAGCCTGAAGTTTGGAGCATACCTGTGTAAGGCCACAAGGCTCAAAAATAGATGGAATGATGAACATGTCGGATGCTGCAAAAATGGAATGAGAAAGAGACTCGTCGTATTTTAGTATCAGTCTGACGTGTTCGTGATGTTGAAATTGGCTTGCTATACCCTCAAATTCCCTCTGCAAACAAGAAAAAGGAAAACATAAAGGAAAGAATCTCGATCTAATTACGGTGTCGAATAATGAAAGCATTGAACAGGAAAAGGATTAACTTAACATAAAACAACTCCGGAAATGGACGATTATCGTTTAATGCATGAAACGAAGCTTGAATGGAGTTCTTATAGTTCTTTTTGCTTTGTTTCATGTATGCAGAAAGAAATTTCTTATCCTTACTGGTTCATATCTTTTAAAAAGCTACTTTGGTAATGAGATCTTCTTTGCCACCATTTGCTATTAGCTTTTACACAGAACAGCAGTAGAGATTCACCTGAATGTGAGGAACTGGACTTGAACCGAGAAGTACAAACTGACCGCCCATCTCCAACGATCGATATATGGCATGTTTGATTAGATGCACACCTTTTTGTGGAACCAATCTCGTTATGCAGCCCACCTACCGATTGTAAAAGATTTCTAGTAAGAATTTTGGCAGCATTTGGTTAAGGGATAATAACAACCTCCTACGAGAGGTAGATTAGTTGATTTTTGACATTCAGTTTTGATTAGATCATATAGTTTCTTATCAGATGAGGATTTGAAGGCCATCTCCAACAAAAGACAGATTCTCAAAATTGATTAAATTTTGAGAATTGCTAACGGAAAGCCGGACGGTCCGATTTATAACCTTATTTAAGTTGCTGCAAAAAATGCAAATAAACTCGAAAAAACTGCAAAACAATAGGGGAAAAGGGCATAGCAGACAAAGAACATCCTGTGTTATGAATTTATACGCAATACCGTTGCTATGCAATAGACTATACGCCTTTATTTCCATGAAAATTAGGGTTAAAACAAAGGGTGCTAGAGATAATTTTGCATCGTTTTATATAAAAAATAAAAAATTTAGAAATAAAATTACCAATGGCCGTTGATCATCAGCAGAAGCAAGCCCTAGCTGCCTTTGGATGGCAGCTTTATTTTCTGTTTTCCCTTGCATATCATTAGCACTATACTGCACTTTGATAAAATTATCGGCTGCAGGATTCCATGCATCAGTATCAATCCCATTTAAGATTCCCACGAACTTTCTTGAGTGAAAATTAAGTGTTGAATGGAGGCCTTTTCCTCCCTGTAAAAGTTAGGGGGCATGATTCTGCAGTTTAACCTTAAAATCATAAAAGAAGACCGGCCATGTTGAAAGAAAAACTACAAAATATTCATACCTCAGCTGTTCGGACCTCTTGTGCATAAGTAGGTGATACTGTTGTCACTATGTTTGAGAACACAATTGCACCCTGAAAAAGAATACACAACAAACTCTATTTTCAATAAGTAGTGATATTTGCAATCGGCTTATAGCCAAACCAGTGATTTCAGCACCTTAACAGGATTGACCCTATCATGTGATGTGTTATCTTGCATTCTATCAGGTCTATTTAACTGCTCGGCATCCAGACCACATGATGCCAATTCCGAAGCAGATGCAGCCCCTTGGTACTCGAAATTGTGGCAAGTAAAACATATTCGAGCAGAATTTAAACCTTTTGGAGCATACAATTCCCAGTAAAGTGGTGCCTGAAAATGAAGAAACGCTTCCCTAAACGGAACATTATTAAATCAAGGTGCCAAAAGAAACATGAAGCTAAAATGTCGTACAACAAAAGCTGTCTGCCAATCATGGCAATGAATTATATCTGGTTTCTTGCCGGCTTGAAGAAGCAACTCGAGTGCCGCACGACTGAAATATGAAAAACGCTTGAAATCATCATGCTCTCCATAATATTGTCCTCTCCAAAAGAACTTGTTGGGATGATGAGGCTCAATAAAATAAACCGGAAGACCTGTGAATTAAATTGCATTAGAATGCGTAGCTAATAGATAGCATGGAATTGAAAGGGGAAAAAATGGTAAAAGGATACGCAAAGCCCCTGCACTTGGAAAAAAAATCAATGTGACCCTCGTACTATTTTTTTCTCTTAATGTAGCTCTTCAACTCAAAAAAGAACCTAATATGGCCCTTTGACCAATATCTTCCTTCATTGACCAACGGCTCCATTAATTCTTGTGCCTGTCGGTAGAGACGGAAATAATCAGTTTCGGTTGCATGGGCAATTGTTGAAGGGGAAGGAAAAGAATCATGGAGACGGTTTTGTAGAAACTTATGGTTGACTTTGAGCATCCTAATGGTTTTGTAGAAACGTTGGTCAAAGGGTCACATTAATTTTTTTTTCTCTAGGGAATGCCACATTAAGAGAAAAAATAGTACGAGAATTATATTAGTTTTTTTAAAAAAGTACAAGAGCTTCGCGTACCTTTTTTTCAAAAAAAAATTCTCACCTTCAACGGTACCAACCCAAATTTTATTTTGAAACAGTTTGCCATCAAAATATGACTCTACCGTTACATCTAAGACCTGTACCAAAAATAAATTAATAAAATAAAATCATCACAAACATACATTAGTAAGTGTTTCTCTACATACCCTTAAGTTAAGAATTCCATCATATTGAATACAATCATATTTCGGGAGAACAATCTCTACAAGGTGACCTTTCTTCTGCAATGTTTTACCAAGACCCGTCACAACATCCCCTAAACCGCCAACCTGATTAAAAATTATTGAATTGACATAACTTATAAAAAAGAAAAATAACAATTAATAGTCAAATCTAACATGTACGACTATGCAAGTAGAATAATATTGTAATTTGTAAAAGCTAGAAACTTAAATCACAAACCAATCAACGAAAATTCATTTCTTAGTATTAGAAATCTAGGAATCATTTCCATAAGCAGATAAAATACAGAATCCAACAAAGAGCTTGAGATTTAAAGATGGCTTTTAGTAAGTGCTCAAAGATCCAAAGGGTGGATTGTTAACTTAAATAGAAAAGAGAACGCAGAAATAAAATGTAATCACCACCGAGACACTCAGAATCACATAAAACAGCCGGCTATCCAGCCATGTAGGCAGGGTTTTAAAAAACGGTCCGCGACCGTGATTTCGGCCGCGATATAGCGGTTTCGCCGCCGTCCGAGTTACCCGCGACGGCCGCAATAACGTCCGCGACAGCCGCAATAGCGCCCGGGACTGCCGCAATCACGGTAAATCCGAAATAACCGAAAACGCGACCGCGATTTGAAACCCTGCATGTAGGTCCAAACACAACACCGCAAATATGCACTCACAAGCGCTGAAGTAGCAACCTTTCAGCAGTGCAAAGGTAATAAGAATTTGGTGATTATACACTATAATAAACTACATTCGAGAAGATTGAAACCACGTATAGCATTTATGGACAGTTCCAGTGAGGACTTTGCAAAGAGCTTTTTTTCTTGGTAATTAAGCGCAAAAAGGAAAGCTACAGTAGGGATGTTTGGAATAGCTAAGGCTGAATTTCTCAGAAAACCATGGAATGTAAAATGGATAACTTTAAGCTTGTTTAATCAAGGTAAATATTAGGGAAATGAGATCTAAGAGAACTGCTAAAAGGACTGTCGTTATTAAGAAAGTTGTAAACTTGCACTTCATATTAAAAGAATGTAGATTAACAAGTAAAATGAAGGTGTCAACTTCGTTAGTATTTTAGAAGGTCTCACTTGTTCTCAACCTTTCCCACTAGAATCCTTGCTGTAAAGTATTAGATTACCCAAGACGTTGCTCTACTGCTTGGTACTTGGACTCCAAAAGGAAAGAACAGTAGACTCTGTACCTCTGTTAGCATTAACTAATAAACATGAAACTTCAGAGGAAACACTGCAGCGTCTTCCATTATGATTAAATGAGAAACAACTAAAACTGAAACTGGGAATGCACAAAAAAATCATAATAGACAAAGTGTAACAAAGGAGAATACATAGGCGAACATGAAAAAACACACAAGATAGGGAAAAGAGTTGTTTCAAAATGTAAGGATACTCCTCCAACTTATAGCGTCTTAATCTAAAAAATGAAAAAATATGCAAGGCACAGGAACCAGGGAAATATTCACAATAAATAGAAAGAAACTACCAATCTAATAAACATATTTATTTTCTTTTTGAGCATAATCAATACTTAATCATATAAGAAGTCAAGCTAATTAATGGGAGTACAACATCAGATATGTAGATGGGTTAAGGTTTTGAAGGTGAAAACATACCAAAAAGGATAAGACTTTTAATGTACTTTCATTAAGATTAGCCAAGAAAGCAAAAAAATATGAGGGGCTAAGTTTTACCTTGGCAACTGGTGCCATCTCAGCAGCGATATGAACAACATGCAACCCTGAACTAAAGATCAACAACAAGTTAAGAAACAACAATAATGCTTAGGGGGGACTTCAATGCGTATCTAGATCCAGAGGAAAAAATTGGAGAGGCTCAAAACTGGCATTCTATGGATCTCTTTAACTACTTTGTCCAAAATCTTAATCTTATGGATCTCCCGTTAATTGGAGGGAGATTTACTTGGTGTAATAATAGGGAGTTTTCCACTTGGATAAGACTTGATCGGTTTCTATTAAGTGTTGCCTTCTTCCAGAAATTTCCAAAAGTTAATCAAAAATTGTTGCCGAAATCCCTATCTGATCATAATCCTCTGGTGCTAGAAGTAGAATTCAAAAATTGGGGTCCTAAGCCTTTCCGTTTTTTCAACTACTTACTAGAGGAAGAAGGGTTTGCTGGGATGGTTCAGAATGCAGTCACTAATTTAAAGAAGGAGAATGCCCGAAGGGGACTGCTGAGTATACTTCAAGGAATAAAGAAAGTGATTAAAAAGTGGCCAATCACTAATAACTTGGGGATTTCCGAACAGATTTCAGATTTGGAAAACAAGATTAATGATTTGGAATTGAGGTCTCAAGGTGGGGGGAATCTGCACAAGATTGGGGTCAGCTATTGTTTTGGAGGAATGAATTGTGGGATTTGCATAGGAAGGAGGAAAGTATCTGGCTTCAAAAGTCACGACTTAAGTGGATAAAGGATGGGGATAGAAATACCTGATTTTATCACTTATGTGCTCTCAATAGGAACAGAGTGAATGCCATTTCGTCGTTAAAAGTGGTTGGGGAAGTTATTGTTGATCCGAGTCAGATTAGAGCAGCTATCGCAGATTATTTTAAAGTAAATTACAATGCAAATTCAACTCTGGAGGTGGATGAAATCAATCTGAATTTTGCTAAATTGACTGATAAACAAAAGGATGGTTTAGAAGTTGAGTTTTCTGAACAGGAAGTGTAGGAAACTGTCTTTTATTCGGACAGTGCCAAGGCACCGGGTCTGGATGGGTATACTATGGGTTTTTTAAAAAAAATTCTGACCTATATTGAAGGATATATCATGAAATTTGTTCAAGATTTTCACAGAGGTAAAAAATGGGAAAATGGGGTTAATCACTCTTTTATTAGTCTAATCCCCAAGAAAGTGAATCTAGAGGGCATTGAAGACTTCAGACCCATTAGTCTTGTTGGAAGTCTATACAAAATTGTTTCCAAAATACTCTCGAAAAGGCTTGTTGCGATTATTAATAGCTTGGTAAGCCCTTCGCAGTTTGCATTTATTTCGGGTAGGCAATTGATTAACTGTGCTCTTTTGGAAAATGAAGACATTGACCATTGGACGAAACTAGGAGGAAAAGAGCTGTTTTCAAAGTTGATTTTCGTAGGGCTTATGATTCGGTTGAATGACCTATCTTATTGAGAGTTTTGGAGGTTATGGGTTTTGGGGGGAAATGGATCTCTTGGATTGAATGTTGTGTCTCTTCAGCCTCAATTTCGGTGTTAGTGAATGACTCTCCTACTGAGGAATTTCACATCAGTAAAGGGTTGAGACAAGGGTGCAGTTTGTCCCCTCTTCTGTTAAATTTAGTTGGGAAACTTTTAAACTTAATGCTGATCAAGGCAGCTGCACTAGGTCTTTTTCAAGGGTTTAGCATTGGTAGAGTTGATATTTCCTTCCATTTGACACATTTGCAGTTTGTAGATGATCTAATCCTTTTCTGCAGAGATTCTCCAATGCAGATTTTAAATATTATGAGAGTTTTGAGGGTGTTCGGTGTTATGTCAGGGTTGCATTTAAACCTAAGAGCACTTTGTTTGGCGTTAATTTGGAAGTTGACACGATAAAAGATTGGGCTAAGAAAGCGGACTGTGGAGTGGGGTCTTTTCCCATGTCTTATCTTGGTTTGCCGATTGGTACAAGGAAGAATTCTGAGGGTATGTGGGAACCTGTAATCCAGAATTTTAATAAGAAACTAGCAGGTTGGAAAGCTAGTTCGTTGTCGTTGGCGAGAAGACTCGTATTGGTTAAATCTGTGTTGTCCTCCTTGTCGATTTTCTCTCTCTATTTTCAAAATACCACTAAAAGTGACTCAGAAGTTGAATTCTTTGATGGCTAACTTCCTTTGGGGAGATGATCATGCTAAGAAACGAATTCACTGGGTGAATTGGAAATCGGTTTGTCAACCTTTCGAAGAGGAGGTTTGGGAATCCTTGATTTAAGTTTGATTAATAGAGTCCTGCTTGGGAAATAGGTTTGGAAATTTGTTAATGAAAAGAATAGTCAATGGAAAAAGTTGATTTGCTGCAAAAACAATGTTAGTAATCTGTCTCTTTCAATTTCTAGTGTTGCTTCATCTTTAGATTCTTGGATATGGAGAGGTATCCTGAGTAACTATGCGAAAAATGATTTGATTGGAGACTGTTTGAGAGATAATTCAAAGATCCAAGTGGGAAACGGTAGGTCGATAGCTTTTTGGACTGATGTTTGGGTTACTAATTTGTCTTTAAAAATTCAATTCCCCATAATTTTTGCTTTGTCGACTAATAAATGGGGGAAGGTTTCTGAGTTTGGTGGGTTTGAAAATAATGTTTAGGTCTGGAATATTCAATTAAGAAGAAATCTATGAGATTGAGAATTGGACCAGTGGATCAATTTAATGTCATTGATTGACAATGTTAAGTTTTCTGATTCTGTGGATGATTTTCTGGGTTGGTCGGGAAAGGGGGATGGTATGTTCTCGGTCAAGTCTTGTAGATTGACATTATATGGCAGTTCTAAAGAAGTTTTGAGTGGAATAAGTGGGTTTGGGCTGGATTGGCCCCTCTAAAGTTTAAACTTTTTTGTGGCAGATTTTTCATCGCAAAGTAGCAGTGAGAGTGGAATTAAAAAAAAGAGGGATTCTCACGGCAGATGTGCTTTGTCCCCTATGCCATTCACATGAAGAAACCATTGAACACCTGTTCTTATTGTGTTATGTTGCTAGGGAAATGTGGATCAAATTTCTAAGGTTATGGGAGATCTCTACTGTTTTGCCTCAAGATCCTTCTTCCCTTTTTTGTTCTTGGCCGAACCTTAGGCAGAATTCTCCTATTTGGAGGTTCATCCCGGTTGTTGTTTTTCTGAACAATTTGGAAGGCAAGGAATCTGGTCGTGTTTGAAAATGGGAATTTTGACAGCTCGATTTTGTACTTTATCATTAGATTTAAATTGGCTAAATGGTATTTAGCTAAATACCCTACTGTTCGGATTCAGACAGGCCTTCTAGTAGGGGATCCTTCGCGGGCTGATAAAATTCTTCTTTCTTCTACTCCAAAGAAGGTTATTGGCTGGTCTCCTCCTCCAACGGATGTGTTTAAACTCGATGTGGATGGGGCAGTTAGTGGAGATGGGATGCAAGGTGGAATTGGAGGTATTTTGAGAGATTCTAACAGTTGTTCCTTAGTCTTTTTCTCTACTGCAGTAGGGCCTGTTCTTCCTACTTTGGCATAACTGAAAGCTATTAAAGAAGGAATTGATTTCTTCTATTGTTTGATTGGGCTAATAAGGGAAGACTAATTATAGAGAGTGATTGCAAAAATGCAGTGGAATGGATTTTAAAGTAGCAATCTGCCCCTATTTTTTTAAGTGATCTGGTGGAGGAAATTGGGGCTTCAATTTATGCTAAGGGTTGTGTTCTTAAATGGATTCCTAGGAGTTGTAATATGGAGGCTGACAGGCTAGCTAAGCAGGGGATCGGTTGAGTGTAGCAGGTTTATTGTTGTATTGTTTTTTTATTTTTCTTTGGGTTGTATTGGGTCTAACTTTGTAATAGTTTCGCTAGTTTGGTAATCAGGACTCACCATCAGATGCTGGGGACCTAGCTTAGTACGTTTAGTCTAAGCTAGTGTTGTTGTTTTTGGTTGCTTGAGGGTGTTGTATGGTTTTATGTTTTAGATAGTGGTGTTGTCCTGGATGTATCTTATGTTTTTAAGTTGTTGAATGAAATTCTAAGGCACTCTTTTTCTCCTTCCAATGATTAAGGAGATTTCTTTCAAGCTCCTTTAATTAAAAAGGGTTTTTTTAATGAGGCCTTTAATTCTTATAAAAAAAAAGAAACACAATAATGAAGAAAAATTGACTAGTTAAAGGTAAATACCTAGCTTGTGATGATGTCAGCCGGAGAAATGTAGATACAACTTCACGCTCATTCTTTTCTTTGCATGCTATATATGCATCACAAATGCGTCGGTCCTTCTTCCACACCAGTTCTCTCAAAAGCTTTGCATCACTGTTTGATATTTTCTTCTCCAGCACCCAACCATCAATAGTAAGCAATAAGCAGCTCCAAAATTCCCAAGGCATATCAACAGGTCCATTTGCTGCCCTTTTCTTGCTCTCTTCTTTCAAACTATTAAGTGTGTCTTGAAATTCCTCTAGAGATTCTTGATATAACTGGACATAAGAATATATATCTTGATCAGACTTTTGAAGACGCTCCTCTAATAGTTTTATCTTTTGCTGCATTATTTCATTATATTGTTGCATTTTCCCGGATGACACCTTATGGACATTAGCCTCTTCAAGAGATTCCTCCAATTTATCAACCTTCTTTCGAAGATCCTGGGTTTGCTCTAACACTAAAATGGCTTGATCGGCCTGTTTAGTTGCCTGATCCAGTGAGTGTTGTAAATTTTCTACCTTTTCCCATAGCCCATGGAATTCAACCTTTAGAGTAGAAATTTTTGAAGAGTCTTGCTGGGAAACCAACAATTTAGACTCCAAATCCTTCACAGAGGACTCTAGTAAAGAGCATTCACTTTCCAGTGTTGCCATGCGATCATCAGTGTTTTTGACATTGCTAATCATAGACTTAAGTGCTTGGATATCATCTTTTAGGGCTAGATTCTCTGTCCTCAATGTATGAACCTCTTTGCTAAGATGATGAGCATGACTATCATGTGCTAAATGTGCTTCCTCGTTCAAAAAATCATTTTTATTCTCATACAGTTCAAGTTCACCCCTGGCGATCAACTCATTTCGCAACTTCTCTAACTGAACTTCTAGGAGCTCAACTTGCATCTTTTTGTGGGAAGCAACTTTAATCCGTGCATCAGCCTCTGCCAATCTCATTTCCAAAGTGTTAATTTCTCCTTGCAATGTCTCCTTCTCACCAAGAATTTTACGAATATCTTCTAGTGCATGAACCCGAGCTCGATCGAGAAGAAGTATATCTAAATATTTGGAAACAAATGAAGTTATGTAAAGGTACATACCAAAATTGTAATATATGGATAGAATTCAACAGTTTCTTAATAGCAAGATATCCTACTTCTCTCTGCATTTTTCATCATGACTACCAAATCCTCTCGTTGAACACCTGAGAGATGTTGTCCTTCATCAATGTTTATGGCCTGCGAAAGAGAAATGAGTAATGTTTTATGTTCAAAACTTCAATTTACATAGTTACCATGAAGAAAACATAATAAAGAGGCATATGACAACATATATTTAATAGTTCCATAATAATTGTTTCTCCCAAAACCTGACATGTCCATAACTCTACAGGATAATGCATCAACAAATAACTCAAATCACTGCTTTTTAAGAATGAGATTAAAAAAAATTATGAATATTGATTATTAACGAGAACCAATAACTACTATAATTGCAGGATACAAAATTAAGCAAAGGTAAATGTGTTCAAATATTCTTCCACTTCACCAAGTAAAAGTGAAAAAAGATTGACAAAACATATTAAAATATCAAAATAGACAAAAAAAAAGAGTAGCACCAAGCAACACAATCTGAGCCCAGATTCACAAAATACTTATTGGTAAATGAGAGTACCAAAGCTCTTGTCACAGCAGGCAGCACAAGGCCGTTTGCAATCTGTTCATTGATATGCTCCACACTTCCGTTAGTCTCAATGGCAGAGACAGATAGAGTTCCCAGATTATGTCCATCGATATGTTCTATATCTGTCACAGTGTCAACATCATCTTTACAATTAGTTTCACGAGTTACAAAATACTCCATGTCAACTCCATTTATGGCAGAGTCTTCAGGTTCGGATTCCTCATCGCCAATTGGCTGCAACTCTGCACTTATCGGAATCTGCTCAGAGGGAGGTTTCTTCCCTCGTTGTCTTTTATTATTAGCACTGCATAAAAATCAATAAAAAAAAAAAGTGGATCATACATCAACAGAAAAGCATACTCCAGTTGTTGATTAATAGTAAATTAACATGATGTAAAAATCAACAGTTACACGACGAACTGTTCAAGAAACACCGATTATCAGTCATTAACTCATTATTAATCAATCTCATTTACTAACCAGAAACCAATAGATTTACTAATTTGGGCCATATATCTTCACTAAAAAATCAAATTTCTAGCAAAATAACAACTAGTCTTCGCTAAATATAAGCCAAACAAAGTCCTCCTCAATAAAAAAAAAAATCTCAAAATCAAACCGAAATAGTGCCTTAACAACATATTAAACCAGAAAAGAGAGTAAAATCGTTATGTTTAAGAAAAATACCTGATATTTCGTTGCCGCATTCTGCAAGAAGCTGGGAGAAAGCGAGTGGAAGGCAAAAACAACAATCTCATATTGAGATTCTTATTATAATTATTATTATCAACATCATTGTTATTCAAACTGCAAAAGCCATGGCTGAAAAAGCAGGTCGATAACTTCGCAGACATTCTTCTCTTTAATTTGAAATGCGTGAGAAGAGTCGTTTAAAGGAGAGTAGGAATAAACCGTTTTCTTTGGCACAGGGTTAGCTTGCTGCCGGGAACCAAAGTTCACCATTAACAAAAATGAAAAATATATATAATAAATATATTTAAAATGCTGAGATAAATATCTTAAATTCTGATAATATCCTACGGGAGATAACGGTTTTTTTTATAATTATCCATATTCAATTTAATAATTAATTAATTTTAATCAAATATTTTAAATTTTTAATAATTTTTAACTCAATTTATATATTTGATGATTTTAAGATTTGAATCATTAATTTTATTCAAAAATAGAAATATAGCATCTCATATTGTAAAATTAATTTTATTCACCAACAAATAAATTTAGTGAATTTTTATTATTATTTTCCAATATACATTTATTAACTTTATTGGAAAAAGAATTGGCCTCTCTCTAATGATTGAATATTTTGTCACGGTGTTAGCTTATGTTGTTTGAAACCTTATCTTAATCCAAGGGAGGAGAATTGTACTGATCTGGTGTTAGTGTTCAATTGTTTATTAGGATAATATAATTAGGCTTGATATAAGAATGAGTGATTAAATTATATTTAAAATTAATTTTTGGTATTTAATTTTTTATTAAAATTAATTGTCTAATGTTTTTTTGTTATATTTTAGGACCGTTAAAAAATCATTAAATAACACATTCACGTTCAGATTTTTAAAATAAAATTTTTAAAAAATATTTTTAAAAAATATTTTTAAAAAATATATAAACATAACACATGTTATTTAGTGATTTTTTTAACCGTTGACACCTAAAAGTCTAATGAGAAAACATTAAGTATCTATTTTTAATAATAAAAAAATCATTAGACATCAAAAATCAATTTTGGGTATAATTTAGACATTTATTTTTATGTTAAACCTTATAATTATTATTTAAAAAATCAATTGTTTAATATAATACAAGGATTAATCTTGGATTTTAATATATATATATATATATATAATTTCTATTTTTCTAATATTTATAATATAATTATAGGTAAAAGAGTACAAGCCTATGTACTTTAAAAGAATAATGTAACCCTCATACTTTTTTCTTTTAATGTATCCTTTAACTCAAAAAAATAATGTTATCTTCTGATTAATATTTTTTGTCATTGACTGATTTTAGTATCAACCATAAGATTCTACAAAAATCATCTTATGATTATTTTCCTTCTCCTTCAATAATTACTTATACAACCAGTAATTGATTATTTATGTCTCATTCAACAACTATAAACATTATTCATTTCGTAACAAATTTGATAAAAACATCCATATTAATAAAAATTAACGAAATCATTAGTCAATAATAAAAAAGTTAATCAAATGATCGCATTAAATTCTTTTTTAAACTAAAGTACTATATTAAAAAAATATAAATGCCACATTAAATTTTTTAAAAGTATAAAAGGTTCGCATATCATTTTTGTCATAGTTATAAGTTGTTCATTATGGTTTAACAGGAACAACTAATACATAAAAAAGGAAATAGTAGGAACGTGTAAGGGGGCCTTTACTTTTATAAAGGTGTACTTGAGTGGAATTAAGACCTTGGAAGAAATGAAGATGATTTGAATTTAGAAAAATATTTTTAAATTATTTTTTTATTTTATAAATTAAAATTTATATAATTTTCATTTGAGTTTGACAGTATAAATATTAGATATTTTACTTGAAAATGTATTAAATTAGTATAGATGTATCTTATAAAATATATCTTTCAAAAGATTTCTTTTATAAATTTAATTGAAAAATGTGCATTTAAATTATATATTTTGTTTATTTTAAATGTCTATTTTTTTAAAAATAATGTTTATTATGTTATCATTTAAAATGCCATAAGATTCATTTTATTATTTTAATATCATCCTGTTAATAACCGTTGAAACAAATATATTAACTACAATAATTATCCAAGTAAATGAAGTAAAAACTGCTACAAAGTAACGGGAACAACACAAAATCAGCCCCTGCAAACAATTCCCCACTTAGAACATAATCCTCTATTTACATCATCATTCACATCTATACAACTATGTGCAACTTTAATCCTAACAATCAACACAATAACATTCAAAATCTCATCACCCATCCTCCTTACACCCCTAAATTGTCTTCTATTTCTTTCATCTCAAATACAATAAACACAAGAATTACTAGCTACCTTGATGATAAAAGTAAGTAAGGATTTACCCTTAAGGTAGGTCGAAGCCCACTAAAGCTCAACATCTCAATCCAATGCATGCATAGCCATATTACATTTCGCCAAAATAGCCTCTCATTTATTCTTTGAGTAGGAACACTCAAAGAAAAGGTGATTCATAGTCTCAAAGCCATTGTAGAAAGCACAACTTTCATCCACTCCCAGCCTCATACTCAATAACCTATCCTTGGTGGGAAGTCTACCAAAAATGGCCATCCACCCGTCGTTCGAATGCTTTGGGACTTGATAAGAGAACCACAAAGTCCTATGCCAAAGAACTTTAGGAGATTCTTCCCTGATCCTAGACCAGATCCAACTGATAGTTATAGAGGTCAAACTAGGAGCAGAGGCAAAGATAGGCATATCAACACCCCTCAAATCCAACAATTTCCTAATGCATACGGTAGCATTAGGCTTATCCTCCACTTACCAAAACTCGACCCCTTTAAAAATATGGGCATTTAACCAAACCACCCACAACGATCCTTCCCCAACCAAAATTTTTCGAATAAGAAAGGAGCATGCCTTATTTCAACTCTTAGTATCCCTAAGCCTAAGGACACCCTCAGACCTTAAAGTGAAAATCTGACGCTAGTTAACCCGAGCACCAGAGGTAGCAATATCCTCGCCTTTCTAGAAATATCTCGAGCAAAGTTGATCAACTTTTTTAATAACCGATTGAGGGAGAATAAATTGTCTACACCATAACCAGAGATGCTAAAGAGAACATAACGAATAAGTTGAGCTATGCCAGCATAACTAAGATGTTTACACCCTACACCCTCAACTTGTCTTTAATCTTGTCAATCAAATGAGAATAATCACTATCAGAGAGCTTCCTTGTTACCAAAGGAACTCCAAGGTAATGAACATGTAATTTCCCTATTTGAAACCTCGTAATCTACTTAATTTCCTCTATTTGATCCACATAACGCATGAAATGAAAACTTTACTTTTAGTAGCATTTAGCCTCAGACCAAAATAAGAATATAAGTAATCCAGGACACTGAATACATCAACAATAGAATCTAAGGTCCTTTTACAGAAGATTAACAAATCATCAACAAAACACAAGTTAGTCAACCCAACTTCTTGCATTTAGGATATAATTTAAAAATCTCATTCGCAATAGCCACATCAAGCATTTTCGAAAGAACGTTCATAACAAGCATAAAATGTAAAGGGTAGAGAGGATCCCTTTGTCTAATACCACTGAAACCCTTAAAAAATCCAACCAAGCTACCATTAAAAGAAATGGGAAATATTGAAGCTGTGAAACATGCCTGAACCCACTTCTTAAACTATAAAGGCATGTTAAGAGCTTCAAGAATCTAAATAATGAAACCCCAATGCACAGAGTCAAATGTCTTCCTCAAATCAATCTTCAATGAGCATCTAGGAGAGAGAGATTTTCTCCCATAACCTTTAACAAGTTCCTGGGCCAAGAGGGTATTATCAATGCTACGCCCCTAAACAAATGTCGTTTGATTCATAGTAATCATACTAGAAAATATATTAGCAAGCCTATTTACTAGAATCTTAGTTATTACTTTATACACAATAAATCAATATGAGATAGGTCGAAAGTCTTTCATCATGTTGGCATTAGGAACCTTAGGCACTAATAACAGAGAAGTTACAATGAATGCTGGCAAAAGAGTAGAAGAAGAGAAGAAATATCTCACAGAATTGATGAAGTCCTCCCCCACAATGTTCCATGAGACTTTAAAAAATAAAGAGGTATAACCATCAGGGCCAAGGACTTTCTCATCCCCTTGGCAAAAGATGGCCTCTTTTATCTCCTTATCAGTCACACCCCTAACCAGAAGGTATTCCTCCTCCTCATGCAGAGAGTAACCAATAAAATCCTTCAAAAGGTTAATATCACCAGCCACCACACTAGGATCAGAAGCACCCACCAGCTAGGAGAAGTACCTAATAGCTTCAACAAACATAGTATTAAACGACTCAAGCCTATTTTCAGACTCATCGTAAACAACCCTGATAGTGTAACTTTTCTATTTCTTGGCAATAATAGAGTGAAATTTTTTTGAATCATAATCATCTTCTGTTAACCGGTCAATCTTTGCCTTCTACTAAAAAATGAGAAATTCAACTCTCTCTAAATCAGCCTACAGAAACTGCTCCAACAGAACTCCATGTACAGAACCATCAGAGGATAAATTCTACATCTAAACCTTATTAAACTCTTCACGCAACAACCTAACCCTCTTAGGAAGATCATCAAAATGAGTTCTATTAAAATTCCTCAAATAACTCTTCAGCCGTTTCAGTTTCTGAAACAGAATCTGCATGGGGCATACCTGAACATGCTCACTCTAAGGCTCAACCACAACCTTTAAAAACTCAGCATGCCTAGTCTAAAAATTGAAAAATCGGAAAGACTTAGGCTTACTATCATGCATGTCCTTCAAGATCCAAAACAAAGAATGTGAGGGATACAAAAAACCAGGGGCCTAAAACTCAACAAAAGATTCAGGGAAATTCACTACCCACTTAGGGTGCGTTTGGTTCACGGAATGTAAGATTACCAGTGGGAATAAAAGATTATCAGGGAATAGGATTACTGTGAATGTTACATTACTGTGTTTGGTTGGTTTGACAGGAATGTAAGATTACCGTGTTTGGTTGAAGGAATAAAAGATTACTGGAATGCATATTTTACCAAATTGTCCTTGTTCTATATTTTTAACAAGTAAAATTCTAAATATTTAAATAAAAATTATTTATATAAAAATTCTATCTGTTGATAATGTATTACTTGAGTATTTAAATATATATAATGTATTATTTTAATTTTAATTAATATTAAATTTTACATAATTTATGGTTACGTGAATTGCTCATTTTTTGTTATCCTTTTTCACTATCATACAGTGTAATTTTCACTTCTTTTGACATCTGTTTCTAAATCTGTTTTGATATCTGCTCATTTTGAACCTGAAATGACCCGAATGTGAATTGCTCATTTTGAACTTGAAATGAATTGATTTAAACAACCTAAAATGATATGGATTCAACGTGATACGACTTGAAAATCAAATTGAAATCCAAATGATTAAGATCCCAATCCTGAAATGACATAAATCCAAAATCAATCGAGCTTACATTGCTATTTTTTTTAATGACGATTAGGTTTCGGTTAACAATACAATCAAGCATATGTTAGATACATCAATCAGTATATTGGTATTGTTGCATCTTTTTTACCCCTTCAATGAAGCTTAAATTGCTATTTGCTTTGTTTCATTGAAAGATGATCGAGTCGTCCAAAAGATTCCACTGCAATTATAAGAAATTACTCTCACCTCTATCAACTAAATGTACTCCTCAAATAAGTGCAGATGGGGGGAGAGTTGGAGAAATGTAAATATGAAAACTAAGCATACTTGAACAAAAAGCAAAGAGGACTTACTAAGCACGACAATTATACAAACAAGGTTAATTCAACATTTGAACAAAAATTTCCTGCTTATAAAGACTAGCGATCCCACCCAGAGGGTCTTCGTCTTTCTCTTGGTCTATCTCTAGAACTGCAAGAAAAGGGCCAAGTATGAGCGTAATCAGCATATAAGTAGTAAAAAACAATAAAGCATCACAGAATGGTGTCATAAAATTTTAGTTAAGAAAAGGGACCTCTCTGAGCTCATTTGGTTAGTGTTTTGTCCAGCACTTTCTGAAGTGTTCGATCCTGATATAGGAGCAGTTCCGAATGAACTGGTCGTCTGAGACCTATTTATACCCCCACCAATGGTACCGCCGGATACAAATCCAGACAAAGTTGGTCCCCTGATACTTGAACTGCTATTGAAACCTTAACTATTATGAGGGTTTGATGAAACAACAACAAAATTACTCTTCATTTGTGCCATCATACCAGTTTTCAGATAACTTACAGCAGCATTCTGACTTTAAACAGCCTGGGAAGAATCATTACTTGATTACGGATTATATCCAATGCCCAAACCGTAATCAACTCCACGCACACCTCGACCACCCCCACCACCACCCCTTCCTCTGCCTTTCTTCCCTCCTGCATGTTATATAGCATACATCACTTCAGAGTTCAAGGGGCTTTCATAAATGCAATAAACATGAATTATCTTGGAAAAACATATAAAGAAATGGTGATTAACTTTTTGTCATCTGCCTTAGATTTTGTCACTTCACAAAAGCTTAAACAAAGCTTTACTTGCATTCAAAGTTACATGGAATCATATCACATACATAACAACTACATTGTATGTCAAAGAGAATCGTACCTCCTTTTCTTGCATCACGCTTGGACCTAAATCTCTCATCCTATTTATAGACAAAGCAAGTATCAATACACCATTATCATACACATAGATCAAATCTACAGATTTCAAGAATGGAGAACTTGTTAAGTGTTTAAGATAGTGCCATTAGTTATAGCATTGTTGCTTGAAACTAGAATACAACATAGAAGACGACCCAAATTGAAGCAAAAATGGGGTGTTGCCTATCACTTTCTATTAACTTTAGTGAAAGGCTAAAATCCATTGGCTACAAAATAATCACATTCTAAAAATTATTAATCAAATCTAGAATGAACTTGGCCGATTTTACAGGCCAACGACCTTGCCCGTTAGAATGTCTATTTTTTGCCTGTGTTGTGCGTCCAAAGCCTCCACAAAAGCGTCGGAATGGTATGGCCTGCCCATAACATCCTCCAAATACCTCTTTGCCTTAACCAAAGACAATTTTCTAATGGCAAAAGTTGTTTCCCTTGTGTTCTATAAAACAATAATCGGGTATGAGAATCATCGAAGACAACCAACATAAAAAAAACACCCGAAAATACATCATAAAACCGATACTTTGACAGTTCATAAAAGTAGACCAACCAAACATCAAAACACACCACCAACAATAACAACTAAGCAAACTCATTCTTAAATCATAGCTAATTCAAAAACTAACTTATTTATGAAGGATCATGAAATGTTGTATCCTTTAATGATTCTTATGTTACCAATAACAATTCATTAATTTCTCGAAATCTTATTCGTATCTGAACGTAATAAAAAACATCCATTTGTAGAGAACTACAGACGCTAAAACTACAACTAAGAATTGCTCGACATCAATAACGGCAAAGACTAAATTTGCTTAATTACCTTGGAGGGTCAACTGCTGAGCAGTTTAACTTGGATATTACTTTTTTTTCCAAATCATTCACTAATTTCTCTAAATTCTTGTACAAGGCAGAGTAATTTCCACTTGTGTTCTCTCCAACATAGTCATCAATACTGCAACAGTCAATGAAACTCCAAAATACATTGATTTAAACCATAACAATTAAATAAATAAGAGAGCAAAAGAGAAGATAGTTACTCAATTTCAAGGTGAAAGGGTTGAGAACTGTTCTCAGTCAAAGTCTCGACAAGCAATTTTTTATTCATAACCAGACATTTCACCAAAACTTTCTTCGACCCTTTCTCGAGATTGGTATAGACAAACACGTAATGGTCTTCGAATTCGTTCCAATTATCGATTCCTACCTCGTATAAAAACCAAAAATGTTTTTAAGGAATTGAAAAAGTAATAGTAGCAATCAAATTAGAAAGAGAAGAAAAGCGAATACCAGTAGAGGTAGAAGAGAAAACGTTGTCACCCAAAACAGCAGGCCCAGTGGCAGTGAGGACGAAACCGACCGAAAGAAACGTCGCATGAACGACGAACGCAACCTTGTCGTGGTCGTTCCTAAAAGAAGAAGAATGAAACAACTCTCTCCGTAAAGCTCCAAAG